TTAATATGGAACAAAAAATTATTATAGCAACTACCCTAAACTTAAAAATAAGCAATTAATAAGCACTGGAACTTTCTGATTGTTGTTGAAATATCCAACACTATAATAATAATATTATATTATAACAAACACTCTTGGAGAACACGAGATTCACGGCCTTAAACCAGGATCACGACACAGAAAAAGAATTCACGGCACAGACAAAGAATTCCTTTCACAGTGTTATCTATGATTCTTTCTAACAAAAAGGCGTCAAACAACTATACGCTATACGTCATCTTAGCTTTCTCTCCATCCAGTGTTACCACCATAGACATTAGTTACCACGTATGGCGGCAAATTTAAAACAATCGGTAAATAAGTTATAGATTGCGTTTGTAATTACATTTTTAAGGTTAACTGACGCTTACTACCTTATTTATTATTTATAAAACTCTAAATGTATCAATACCTTACAAACAAGGTGTTTGAACAATTATTAATTACCAGCCGTCATTTCTGCGCATGCGTATTAAGTTGGCTGCTATCCAGTTGTATACAAAATATATTTTGTGGTCATATACACAAATACACAAAATATAATATTGTTTTTAAACTCCCGCCTTTAAAACGCCGATTATCGTACATGTTTCCATGATATTTTAAATAAACATTGACAAGTTGTGGCTTTATGACGTTTTAGTCACGGGCTGAAGTTGGCAGCAATGGCATTCGGACATTTTAGTCATGGGTTGAAGTTAATTGCAGTTGTCAACTGCGAAACAATGACCATCAAAATAAAGGGTCTAAAAAGTGAGGTTAGAATAGACTGGTCGATGTCAGATTTTATAAATAATTATTTATATATAATTGTTGAAAGTTATTTAATTTTTGTGATTGTCGTAGAAAAAATATAGTACATATGCAAGTCGTTTATAAGCTTAAAAAAATCTGTATAATATAATATTATAATTATATTGATTGACATTTTTGAGATGTGCCGATGCAAAATAAGTTATAACTTAAGTTATAACTTATTTTGCATCGGCACATCTCAAAAATGTCAATCAATATAATTATAATATTATATTATACAGATTTTTTTAAGCTTATAAACGACTTGCATATGTACTATATATATATATATATAAAAAATGTAGGTATTATGCATACCAAATGTTTACCAAAACCTAACGGGACATTCTGAGGATGTCTCTGGGATTAGTCCTATGATCAGCCCATTTTAGGCTTTAATTAGGATATTATTAGGTCCTAACGCCATCCTTAAATGACGTTCCTAGGATATCCCAAAATGGGACCTAAAAAAGATCTAATGTCCGATAAGGTCAACCTATGGACGTCCTCAGGAAGTCCTTATAGGATCATCCCATTCTGGGACATTTAGGCTGGTCCAAGGACGTCCTGAGGATGTTTGTGCTTGCTGGGTTAGGGTCCATAAAGAAGCCCTGAAACTTTTTTTTTCTAAATTCCAAAGTCTAAAAATAATTTATAATAACCTTTATCCTACCAAAAAGTACGCCACTGATCGACTAGGAACTTTAGGTTAATCTGGTGGATTTATTATGTTATGGTTGGTAACAGTGTTTCCAAAATCTCTCAAAAAAGTTGACAAACATTGTTTAAATTTAGCTTAATTACAAAAATGACAAAATTAACAATGCAAATTGTCAATTTGGCGTTTTTATTAATTGTTGGTTATTTCATTTTTTACTGAAGGTAAATTCAAACAAAATCTGCCAACTTTTATGACAGAATCTAGTGCATTTCTTTTAAATTTTAGGTTATGTTTTCAAATTGTAAATATCTTAACTAAGGGAAGTGCTTTTGGATTTATTTACACAAATTAAATGTTTAAAGTTTAACCTGTGAACTGGTCCCATTTTTATCCGAGTAAACAGAGAAAAAAACTGATGAAAAAATTAATTTTGTGGTTATGGATTTCAAATTTCAAAGGTACTAAATTTTCTAATCATTGCTTAAGCTAATAGCTGGATCAGTAAATAAATACAGAAGGGTATTAGAGCTTTAAGGCCTAAAACTTTTGTATTTATTGAGTTTTTATTTATTTTTTGCAAGAAAAATTTTTAGTAACAATTTTTTACATCTGGCAACGCATAGCTACTTTGTTGGTTGGTATCTATGTACTCACAAAATACAGGTGTGCAGAGATAAACAAGTGTGTAACCAGTGGCGTATCACAAAAAATATAAAAAACTTCTAATGCATATTTTTTCTTTATCTTTGGAAAAATGTTTTTTTAAATATTTTTCCTTTATTCCTTATGTCAAAAGGTATTCAGTATTTTAATATATAACATTAATTACATAACACCTTGTATAGTTTAAAAATTATATTTTATGTTATTTATGGTAATGGATAGGTTGTTAGGGTAGGTAGATTTTGCCAACCGTGTTTGGACTTGGAACCAACTGCTTGGCTTTGGAGGGGGTGACTACCCCCTACCCCACCTTGGTCCCGGCCCTGGATACAAGTGTGTTACATCGCTGTAAAGAGAAAATTATATCCTATAGGATATAAAATTATAATTTTTTATGAAAAATCTAATATGGCACCCATAAGAAAAATTAAAGTTGGCGATGATATCTCAAAAACTAGTGGGAGTAAAAAAAACAAACCTGTCATTTCATACAATGTCAAAATTTTTATTTTTAAATTAATAGCTGCAATAGTAAAAAAGTTAAAAGGTATTTTTTAGTTTTTTCAGGATATTTTAAAATCGTTTGAAGTTACCCTAGTTTTCTTTGTCATAAAAAGCGCAACTTTTTTGTAATTGAACCAACTTTGTATCTCTTACGGTTCATGAGATGCCAATGATGGGAAATGAAATTCGCACCACCCTGTACGTATTATGTACCTATACCGTAATCAATCACGTTAGTGTCTAGTCTTGACGACAATAAAGTTTTATTTATAGTCCGCTTGAAGATAATAGTTATTTATGTCATTAGCTGGCCATACACAGACGTTATTTCGCGCGATTTATCGTGGCGTGTTGGGATGTGGCGGTTAGTATGCACGAAAGAACGGCATGGCAAAAAAGCGTCATATTCCATACACTTGATAAAGTATTCAAATGATTTAGCAAATGATTGCGCGTGGTAGGTATATCAGTTTCAAAGGAAAAATCGTATGTGAGTGGGCAAAAAGTGTCATTTATCGAGTCGTTTGAAACTGCATATGTGATCAAGTACAAATTTTCAACGTGAAATTTCGCCAAGCGAAGGTAAACCGTGACGCGGAATGTGGCGTGTAGCGTGTGGACACTGCTGAAATGATGTACGCCACAATCCAGAGGAAAGCACGTCTGAAATACCTTCCCGTTCGCATTTTTCCGTCTCCTATAGGGCTAGCGCAACCGAGTGCGCTAATCGTGTAGGATACGGAAGCGAGACCTGCATCTCCGTTCCCTAAGTGGTTAACGCACCGCATACGAATAAGCACTCTGCAATGAGCTTTCTAGGTGATCTTTCTTTGTATGTACATATAAAATAATAATAATAATAACCAAACAAACAGACTGACGTATGTCTTAAAGGCGCGAATCATTGTATGCACGTTATAGCGCGATAATACACTAGAGGCTAAATGTAGCAAAGTATTCCTCAAGTTTATGACGAATAGCTGTCATCTTGGTTATGCAGGTACACTACATTGTGCCATACCAAATCAACCCAAACTTAACAACCCAACACAACCGACCCCGCCCCATTGGTATGGCACAATGCAGTGTACCTGCATAACCAAAATGACAGCTAATCGTCATAACCTTGAGAAATACTTTGCTACATTTAGCCTCTAGTGATAATACCTAATTACAGGCGGTGCGTTAACCACTTAGGGAACGGAGATACAGGTCTCGCTTCCGTATCCTACACGATTAGCGCACTCGGTTGCGCTAGCCCTATAGGAGACGGAAAAATGCTTCCCGTTCTATCATTGCGCGAGGCGATACTCACTCACGTACATGATTTTCCATATATTTTTGCAGATAACACGATAAACCGCGCGCAATAACGTCTGTGTATGGCCAGCTATTAGTAAGGCTTTTTGTGCTAAGCTCAAGGTTTGAAGGCCGACGCGTAGCGGAGGCCTACAATTGAGCGAAGCACAAAAAATCACTTCTTGGCCGAATGGCAAACAACATTTTATCTTCAAAGCACTTTATATAGGTCAATTTAATTCAACATCAAAGCGTCCTAACCTCACTTTTTTAGAATCTCATTTATTTATTAGCTAAAGATTACGTTAAATATACAATAATTATTATTGCTTTTAGAAGCAGTAATAGTTTGACAATACCTAGCAACATGATTTAAGTAGAAATGGATTTTTGCTATTACATTGAATTTAATTAATTGTTTAATAAATAGGTAGGTATCAAATTTCAATTTGTTTGGATTTTTATTTAAAAATAGGTAGTTTGGAATGTTTAAGCTGTGTTTAACATTTAATTTCACTGAAAACTTAAAGCAAATTAAAACTTAAAGATAATTTAAATCGTAGAAAAAGAATCGTGCGTTTTCGTGGTTGCCTAACCTCACTTTTTGTTTTATTATTCATATTTAATTTTACAATAATTTAATGAAAAATATTAAACATTAACAGTAAAACAAACAAATTAGTGCTCACTGGTTTAATTTATTTATAATTATAAATAAATTAAACCAGTGAAGTACGTTAATTTCTTAGAAAAGGATTAATTTGTCAAAACAATACCCCTAGCGAGAAAAAATCGAACTAAATCCTTGCCTCATAAAAATTTTTATCGGCCTAGGCCATAACAAGGTATTTCTTTATCGATTGTTGACAACAATAAAGTTTAAATTATAGACCGCGTGGAGATAAATAATATTATATATACGGTGTTTATATCCTGTTTCTACGGTAACTTGAAAAAAAGGGAGCGCGTGCTCAGGATTCCCTCCACTGCAGCCGCGTCGGCCCTTCTGTTGATTGCAGGTGATTCAAATTGGTATCGGTCCGGCGACTTTGCCGTCTGCTGCTAAACACAGCGTCAACCCCAATGTTTTTAGCGGCGTTCTTTACCGTTTTACATTTCAAAGAGTATTTCAACAATTCTATGAACAATAATGCCATCATTTTCATTAAAGTTTTTACTTGTGATCTATTGTTTTTCCAATGTGTTTGAGCTAGGTAAGTTTTTTTATATTTAAATATTTAAACGTTTTTTATCTTTATAAGTAGGTACCTACTGAATTAAATTATGAAGTCAAAACTAATTTTCTATGCTGTTTTTTATCATATTTTTCTTTAAGAATATAACAAAACTTTTCAAATTTAACTTTATTTATACCTAAAATAATGAAAACATATTAAATATAAATTTTATCAACTAAAATGTAAGATTTATGGAATAATAATAATCGTTTACAGTGAGTCTATTTAAGTTTTAAAATTATACAGGGTGAGCATAACCAAATAAAACAATTGATAATATTTCGTTACCTTATAAGTTATTAAACAAAAACAATTTTTTTAACCTTAAGAAAAAACCTATAATTTTTTACTATGAAATCATTTTTTTCATTATTTCATCATTTTTTCCAACCTTTATGTTTAATATTTACAAAAATTACGTCTAATCGAGCAAGTTCACTTCCGTATAACTTGTAGAGGAGTGGTCGAATTTGATTGTTTGCACATATCCCTGCGGCTTATATCAAATAAATAAACAATTGAAGCGTTTAATAACACTTCAAAGAAAATCAAATAAAATAATTTAATTTCAATGCAGATTCGTCAATTGATATCGGTTTTAGGTTTTAAATGAAATTTGCACTCTGGTTTAATTTAAATAAAATTAACATACCAAAGGGTGATCTTAAAATTTGTTAATCAGTGTGCTGTTATAATAAAACAAAATGCAATCTGTTGTTGTTTGTTGGTCAAAGTAGAAACTAGAAAAAATAATAAAATATAAGAAAATATTTTGGTTATTAGTTTAAATTGTGAACCGGATATACAGGATTTTAATCGGGAAAATTTAGTAGTCGATATAACTTGCAAAAATAAGAAGAAAAGTTTATATAAACTTATATGGTTTAAAGTTTCGTTTTAGAGATACAGGTTGGTAAAAATATTATTTTTTTAAATTTTAAAAAATTCTTGGTCGAATTTAATAAAACTGTAATTAAATTTAATTTAGTACATCCAGAAGTGGCGCTGGGGCATGCCAACTAGATATTTAATAATAAAATTTGGGTACGCTGCTGCTTTTTTATAAGTTAAATATATTTAATATAAATTCCTTATTGTCGATCTCTAAATTTTGACCCATTTAGCAGATCTTAGCAGCTTTCGAAAAATTGAAAATTTAAAATTTTCCCACATGGTCAAATAGCTCTTTACACTCTATCCAGTCCCAAAAAATATTAAATATTAAACACGTTCCAAAATAATGGGGTGTTGCTTAAATCGCCAATACTTACTGTATTTTGAACTCTAGTTTAGTATTTAGTCTTGAATCAATAGAATTTTATATTAATTTTAAAGCAAATTAAAATTATACGCTTTTTTATTTTTGTCAAAAGTGTTTTAAAAGAAATTCTAAAGTAAAATATTAGATACTCCTATACTGTAGGATTGTTTGATGTAGGTAAAAGGTTAAAGTTAACTTTAAGAAGGTTAGCTATTGAATTGCCAATAATTATTATTATAATAAACTTACTTTCAAAAGTCTTGCACCCCCCAATTATTAGGATTATGTTAAATTGTTTCAAAGTTTTAAAAGCCTAATGGTAAATTTTAATAAAAAGCTTACAAGAAAATGACAAGCATAAATTTTATTTAAAGCAATCATTAAAAAAACAAATCAAAATTGGGATACAACATTTAAAAAAAAATTAAACTTTAAAGAAAAACTAAAAATAAATGAATACAAGAACAAATTAATATTCAGTATTTGAACCTCTGCTTCTTACTAATGCATCAACGCGTATTGGCATTCCAATAATTAAACTATTAATTATTTATTGCGGAATATTCTCCCATTCCTCCCTTGTGGCAACAATAAATTCCTGCGCATTTCTTGGCGGATTATTCCTGGCCCTGGATACGTAATCCCATACATGTTCTATGGGATTCATGTCAGACGACATCGCCGGCCATTCCATTCTAGTGATAGCTTGGTTTTCCAAAACTTCTTGGACACCTCTGGTACGATGTGGCTTGGCATTGTCGTCCATAAAGATAAACTGGTCCCCCAATTCATTATTAGGGGTGTAACGATAGGATTTATGACGTTTTGCAGGTAGTATGCGCCTCAATGTTCCAGGTATATGAATAAGTGGAGTTCTTCTGTTGAACATGATACCTCCCCAAAACATGTTCGTACCACCGCGATAAGGAGCAACTCCAATGGTTGATTCCAGTCTATTTATGCGTCCTGCTTCCCTCCAAACTCTTACTCGGTAATCATCACTCACTAACCAAAACCTCGATTCATCTGTAAAAAGCACGTTTCTCCATTCAGCTAAACGCCAATTTTGATGAATTCTGGCCCACTGCAAACGAGCGGCTCGATGACGAGGAGTTAGCAAAGGAACTCTGGACTGCAATCCTGAAGCTAAAATCCTTCAACGGATTGTAGCACTCGAAATTATCCTGTTATACGTTCTCTGGAACTGATGTTTTAGAGCCGGTATGGTGACGGACCGATTTCTACGGGCTGATATATCGATCTTCACGTATTGTAGTAACACGAGGTCTACCATTTCTAGGTCTATTTTGCACCTTACCAGTTTCTTCATACCGTCTTATTGTTCTGCTAACTGTGCTTCTAACAATATTCATTCTATTGGATATTTGGTGTCCAGATAGCCCTTCTTGCCGCAAAGCAATAATTCTAGCTCTATTAAACTCGTTTCTAGGCATATTACACCTTTATTGAACTAATGCGTACCAACCAATAAATATTGAACAGCATGAATTTTTTACCACATCAGAATTTTATTACTTTAACATTTTTTGTTTTGGATTTTTTTATGGTATTTAGATATAAATAAGTTGCTCTTTTTATTAATACAAATATTTTGTACCTATTTATTTTATATTTGAAATACGAGGAGGGGTGCAAGACTTTTGAAAGTTTCCTTTAAGTCAGCTAATATCCCCATAATGTCAATACAAGTACCTTTTAGTACCTACATATACGATTACGTATAATTATACGTAAACGTATACACTATTAAAGAAAAGTTAGTAGGCGGCTGTTAATTTAATAATAATTATAATAATATAACTTTATTTAGCAATAGCTATTTTCATACAAATTTTAAATATACACAAAATAAATAAAATATTCTTAAAAATTAGTTGTAACACAGTTTATACACACTTTCTTAAAGATTTTTAATTTACACCTCTTCTTGTCATAGACTAGATTAACTTTTGAATGACGCCTGCTGATAAGTTGGTTGATGTTATAAAAGTGTTCTTTTTAGTTCCACCCTTACTTTCTAAGAAGTTCCAGAAGCCAACTGTCTGACTTGTGTGGTTTAGGGGTAGAAACGAACCGCGGGCTTAAAGTCTCCCTCCAAAAGACTTATACACGATAGGACAAACACAAATAAACAACCATACCAATGTGTGGCTCAAACCCACGACCTCTTGGCTTAAATTCAGGGGAATTTTCCACTCAGCACATTGTATTTTGGAGAATGTCCCAACCTATTCATTATACCATAAATTAAATGAATGGTGCTTACTCGGAGTAAGTTGCTCCATAAGTTAGTTCATATCAAGAAAAACTTCCATAGGAATGCCTCTGCCATGTTTAACAGTTGGTGTCACGTACTTTGGATTAAACCCTTGTTGACCAACTGATCGCCTTACATCACAATTAAAAATAGTATACCAAGTTTCATCTCTGAAGAGTAGGGATGGGAAAACTATCGATATCTATCAATAATTATGGAATCGTTAAATAACGATCCATGAAAAGCGTTACCGAATGAGACACGAACTGGTAGAACGCTTGGTATTTTTAAGACAAAATTATAAATATTTGCAAATGTAAAAAAATAAACGCATTTTTTTACCATTGTCTGTTTAAATTTCCCACCTAATAGAGTAAGGGTGGGGGGAAATTACCTATTTATATCGATAGTTACAGATACGTTTTGGTAAACTATCGATAGTTTTTCTTACCTATTTCTCTCATCCCCACTAAAGAATACTTTTTTCCAATCGTCCACCATCCAGTTTAAATTAGCAGAAACATTTTTTTCGCAGGTCTTTTAGTAAATAGTTTTGCTTATGATACAGAAATTTGTCTTTTTTTAATAAATACTGTTTAATTAAACCTTTCTTAAGGAGAAAACCAGATATGTATACCAAATGCACAAAAACCATACTACACTTTAGAATTTTATTAAACGACATATTGATAGGATGTGTCACACATCATGTGTGCAGAGGCGAATATGTATGTTATGTAAGTTTTGTAACTCTCTAGGCAAGTTTAAATGTGATGTCAACAACTTGTTTAACGATATGTAATATTTTTTATTTTACTCTTGTATGGTTATTATTATTACTATTAAATGTAGTTGCATACTGGTATTTATTGTTTTAAATTCTTAAAACATTCATTGTTATTGTGATACTTTTTAATCATAAGCGGTAAACGTATTTATACGTTTATACCTATTCATTAGTGGCATTCCGTGGGTGTAAGTGTGGATTCACAATGGACGTAACCATAAAAGATAAATAATGAAATCATAAACATTGAATGTCCATAACCATAAAATTTACATAAAACCCAAGAGCGTTCACAATGACCATAAAATTGACATGTTGAGCATGTCAAACTAATGTCATTTTTAAGAACATAAACTCATAAAATTTGTGAATTGTTTATTTAAAATGAGTGAGACTGAAGAATTGTTATTATTGTTACTTCTAAAGCTTAATTTTCATGTATCCGTTTGTCCGCGCTCTTATTGGTCCAATTATAATTGGAAAATTATGACATTTTATCTGTCCCTCAAGTTTTAACTTCTTAGGTCTGACAGAGAAAGTTTAAATAATTTTATCTACGCCAGTGAGATAAGAACTTCTTATCCCACTCATTTTGAGTGAGATAAGAAGTTCATTAACGCACGCGTTTTTCTCTGTTTTTAACCAATCAA